CTGCAAAAGAACACAACCAACCCGCATGTATCACATACGATGTAGTTCCTGACTGCACACGTACCAGACCTTGATCAGTGCATGTCTAGGATATCACACAAAGTAGCGTGCGATCGCATACAGTAAAGGACTATTGCAGCCTAACAGTCCTCCAGCGGGCCCAAGCTATCTTACCAGTTGGTAACCCTGTTAGAGTATCGTGTTAATTCAATGACAGGACAGGCAATTAGTGGGGTCATACGTAACGAGTGAACCACAGCAGATGGCCGTGTCATCTCTGGCCACTTTTCCATAGTCGAAACGAGTTCATTTAACGAATTTACTCTAGTTAGGAACTAGTCAACTACCCCCATGCAGTTTCGTAGACAGTCTAAACAGCTATTAGGGTGTGTTCACTGTGGCTAGCACAAGTCCTGGCACATCAGAGATGTGCAAAGCTGGTGGCCGAGTGACATCTTCGAACAGTTTCACACCTGATTCAACAGTCACCGCACGAAAGTGACTATCCTGCCTGAACAAGAGCCCTTCAACGACGATTCGTTAACAGTTACAGTACCATATCCATTCACTTCAGAGGCCTTACTGTAGTTATTGGAGGAAGAGTTCTATGTAGTGTTCCGTTTCCAAGTCTACGGGTTTGGCCAAAATGCGGGGAGTACAGAGAAGTCTCACGTCATGAGACCACACACTCATAGAATGAGTTTAGGAGTAACAATAAACGGACACATGAGGGTCGCAGCGGAGGAAAACATCTCCTTTCCACCACCACCAATACAAGCAACTGCAACAAAAATGCTACTGTTGGTAGTGGTGGGATGGCAGCAAGAATGAATGGATCGGACTGAGGGAGGCGGGGTCGGGGGAGGGGGAGTTCACATGGTGCGCAGCTTTTAAAAAAGGGATGCCACACAGTGGGACGTCCGGTGTGTGTACGCAAGCAAACGCAGAAGGTGATGCGCGTTGATGACGTTCGGAAGGCGATGCGCGAGGCAGAGGTACAGCAAGCAGCACACACACACACACAGGCCGCGCTCCCGAACACGAAGTCTCTCTCTCTCTCTGTCTCTCTGTCTATCCACGAGGAGTCAGCAGACAACGAACGCGTGTGCGCGCA